GTGAAGAATTTCTTCCTTAGATCTAATTTAAGTCTCCCCTCTTTCCATTTGAAGCCGTTGGCCCTTGTCCTGTCACTCCACGCCCTTGCAGCAAGCCTTGTAAGATGTTTGTGGTTCACGCATACACCTGCAGGGTGCTTTAGTTTTGGAATATACTGAGCAGAGAATAACACTCAAAGTAGGGTTAAAGCATCACAGCATAGATATAAAAATAAAGTTGTTCTCCTCCTGTTTGCTCTGTTCAACTGGGCTTTTAGCTGATAGAATTGGCTGCACCTCGCAGACTCTCTAGCAAGCAGAGAGCATGTCTGCGTGGCTCAGTGCCGTGCACCTTTACAGGAGTCTTGAGGCCTTGAATGCACTTTGAGGGACAGTGAGCCTCTGTCGTGACTGTCTGTACAATGGAAACGCTCCCTGGCTGTGTAGCCTGTTGTAAGAGTTGGGGTTCCTGTTGGCTCTGTGCTCCCCCGGAAGGCACCGTACCCGCAGCACGTTATGGTGCACCACCAGAACTTCCGCAGACGTTTTCACGTGTTGTCTTTCGTAACTCGTGGTGACTCCATCGCAGCTGACACAGGTCTTTAATTCTGTGACGTTGGGTCACAAACCTCAATTCCTGATTAGGTCATCAAGACTGATAGGAGCCTTACGAATGAAGAACCGAGGAATGTGCCATGCGGCTCGTCTCCCCGGCGGAAGGAAGTGCTGGTGCTCTGTGGGGCCGAAGGGATCGTGCCCTCGTCCCCAAACAGCAGCTTTGGGGCAGCTGTGGTCTGTAACCAAAGTCGCTGCTGTGTGCAGTTGAAACGGAGCGCTCCGGTACTGGAGCTGATGTAGGCATGAATTATTCTGAAGCCTCTGGTTATATATTTTATTTATTTATTTTATATTAAACTTTGTGGGGTTTTGCCCTTTCGTGAGGAAAATCTGGTATCCTTAATGGTATCCATATAAAGATGCACATTTGAGACTGTGATGTGTGGGTGGGGAAGGATTTGTTTGAGAAAATCATGAGCTGACTCTTAAAATGTTTTGGAAATGAACTGCAAGGGAGAGAAGATAAATATTTTATAAACATGTGCAGATGAATTGTATAGTTTGGCTTGCCATGGGTCACCAGATCTCCTGGTTCTGGCCACGACGGGTCTCTCTCCTGCCCATTGAAGAACAAACATTCTCATCTCCTGGTTGTGTAAAGCCTCTAATGCTGCGGCTTCGCTCCTTCCCAGGTGGAAACAGATGTACTAAAAACCCATCCTGTGCCAATGGTTCTGTTAGCCTGAAAACTGAATCAGCCTGGAAGAAAATCAAAAGAATTTGTCAGCTGTGCAAGGACTTATAGGTGGTGATTAGAGGAGTGGGGGGTATTCTTGTTAAACATCCAGAACCAAAATTTCAAGCAAAGGAAACTGTGGAGTCTTGGAAGCTGTTTTGTGTCACCTCCGCGTTGTCCCTCCCTGGGAAAGGTGAGAGCTGGAGGAGGACTGGAGGAGTTGGGGTCCTGCCTGGACTGGCTCCTGTCACTTCCCTGTCCTTTCCTCATCAAAAAAAGGACATGGGTCAAAAAAGTAGGAAGAGAGAGAAATTTTATGATTCCTGTTTTGGCTTTTCACAAGGTACCTGCCATCATTCAGTCACTCAGCTCTGCTTCCTTCTTCTAAAGCAGCCTGGCAGAGGCTGACCCAGCACTGGTTGGTAACTGGGTTTAACCAGACTTTCTTCCTTTTTTGGTAGTATTTGTTTGCGGGGAACATTCCAGCCATATATAAAAAGACACTTTGTGTCTACTTCATCTTGTTCACAAAATACGATTTTGTATTAAAAGCAGGAGCTTTTCTTTCATCTGTGGTTTGGTTTGTTTTTTTTTCTTTCCTTTCTTGCACAGCACGGAAAAACAAGGTCAGCTCGGAGCCCCACGGCTGCGGGGGCATTAGCAGCGTTTCGTAAGCCCGCTGGCACACGCAGGGTGGGTTTAGAAGCTTCTCTTTCCTTCCAGATGAAGGGCTCTTTGGCCTGAAACCCAAAGTGCTGTTACTAACTCCCGACTCAGGCGTTCCAGAGGAGAAGCCTGAGCACTGGGATGCGACATAACCGGTGGTTGGGTCACATGTGCCCGTGGCTCAGCGGCTGCTTACGAGCAGCCCCAGCACCTGTGGAAGGGGGCAG